AATTAGCCTAAAGTTTTTACATAAACTAGGTTATATCCAAAAGAGAAGTCGATAAGACTCTAACGGCGACGAGAACTGCTAGAGTGAGTTCTTGAATCCGATAGGAGACGCTCTATGTCCCTCACACGCCTATCAGATCTTGCTTGCTGAGTTCGAAGTTCCCTGACTTCGGCTCGGGTTTCAGCAAGTTCCCTCTGAAGCATTGCATTACTAACCTGAGCCCTTTCATGAGCGGACTCCAGCTGGCGAATGCGGACAGTGTTAACACCAGAATTGGCATCCACTTCTACTACCCGGTCGATAGCTGCTCGACCCTGCTCGGTGTTCCGAGCAATCCTACGAACCATGATAGGTAGGACCCTATCAGCTGTACCTCCCTCAGTAAGGTTGTAGAAACTTTTGTCTCCATTGTAGGGAAAAGGTTGACCTTGTTCCTGACTCCACCTATTCAAGTTTGTGGCCCACAGAGGTGTGGGTCCTTGGAATGCGGGACGAGGGTTTGGGTTTTGAACAGCTGGGGGTTGGTTGTTGACTTCTGGCTCCGAGTCGGAACCATCAGAAAAACCTTCAGCTTCATAATCATCTAAGGGAATTGGGTGATCATCCTCGGTTCTTCTCCAGCCATCCAGCATTGCCGTGGTTTGGGAAGTACGGGTCTCCGGGAAGATGAAATCCAACCATTATATCTACGCGAGAAAAGGGATATAAGAAATAACTAAATTAGACTAACTAATTAGATAAATATAAGATGATATTTATTAGTTGCTTCAATACTTGTTTAAAGCATAATAGTTACATGTAACGCAGACGGGATAGACCTTCGAATAAGTGACCCTAACCCTAAGCCCACAACCAAACAAGGAACAGGAAGTAAGGCAAAGATCACAGATTCTAAGTCTATGACATCCTAGTACATATAACCTTAGTGTATCCACTAAACAACCATTGATATACTAATAAAGACCTTTAGTTCTCAAATAAGTAATTATTGTAACACAAAATACTCCTATAGTATTTTTAAGTTTAATGTTCTGTTCTACTGTTCTCATTGTAGTAGTGTTGGTAAGTTTTTAGACTTGTTGCAACCTCACAACCATACTTAGGCACATGCTAATCACTCCTCGGATAATGTAGTTGATCAGGCTACATCTTCCCAGGGTTGACCATATGTCTCTAAGTCTACTTGTGTTGTCCAACAATCGTAATACTTTTGTTCTGTCCTAGTGACACTGATTTTAGTATGAATGCAGGTATGTATACTTTATTAAACATTTTATTATTTAAAGTATAAACTCTTCATCAGAGTATTTTAAATCCCGCTTGTGTTTATAGTTCGTATATCTTTAATGGGTTGATACACTCGATTCACTATAAACAATGCTCTGATACCAATCTGTCACACCCCCAAAACCTATGAACGGCGGAAACGTTCTGGGGTGGAGGACGTCATGTACAGTATCACAACAATGCAAGTAGTAAACAAGCAACAACATCATCCATTGCATTAATAATATAATTTCATACAAGTGTGTTCTGTCAAGTTTTAAAGACACCAAAACAATATACATCAAAAATATAAGATGAGTCTGGAACGAGCTCCATCTTCTCAAAACCTGGCTCCGGTACCTGTCTACTGGTGACCTGAGAATACAAGTTATTTTGAAAGAGTTTATCAGCTTTAAAGCTGGTGAGATCATAAGTATATTAGTGTCTGTGTTTGTATGAAAGCATTTGTAAGATGTTTTGTAAAATGTACTGTATATGTTTGTAAAAAGTTTGTATTTGTTTGAACTCTCCTAGAAAACCCTATGTTTCCTACTAAAAGTAGCCTTCTACCAAGGCATCTAGTGTCTGTGTGTGTATCTCTTGTAAAAGTGTGTATTTTCCCAAATCCGACTATCATTAACCAAAAATATAGTTTTTACATCATTGTTTATTGTGTGAATAACACAAAGTAAAATGTAAAGGAAAATGTTATAGTACTGTAGTGATGTATTAAGTAACTACTGCTGTACTAACTACCTTAAGCCAAATGTAAAATTTTAAGGTAACATGTGATCGGCCTGTATCTTGCTACCGACTCAATAGTAAAACGACAATGTAAGATGCCGTAAAAATGACGTTTGGCACCCGTAGACTTGCAAGTCCCACTGTAGCGAGCAGCAAGGTGTAGGATAGTCAATCCAGTATAGATCTATACACAAACTCATACGCTCCCCAATTAAGGAGATTCTGATACAAAAACAGTCATGGCAGGTAGTGCCATGCCCTGTTTAATGGCTCACATAAATGTATTAATGTAAATGTTATGTGATTTGTGTGCTAGCTGTATTGTGTTCTTTCTCTGTCTAGCTTGTATGTTTGTTTCTCGTCATAGTGTCTATTGTTTGTTTCTCATCACTCTGTATTATGTTTGTTTCTCATCACTCTGTTTTATGTTTGTTTCTCATCATAGTATGTATTGACTCATGTATGAACTGACTCATTGTATGTTTCATTGTTCTAGTAATAGTATCTTCCTAAACTACCCTATGGTAGCTTACTAGCAATGTATGAACATGTTTGTATACCCTTGCTACCCAAGGGCATGAACTGAATGAAAGAAATAACCTTTATATCTATATACATATACATAATATATAACTAGGATTTAAACGACCTTCGGACAACTAACCTTGATACCCTAAGTCCACAACCAAACAAGGAACAGGAAGTAAGGTAGGCTAGCAGTCCTAAGTCCTTTCAATCCTACTTATATAACTATATCTATATAGATACAAAGAATATAAGTTTAAAAGAGTTTAAGTAAAAGTATTTGATAAGTAAAAGAGTGTGTAAGACAGTTTGAGGTAAAACAGTTTGATAAACAGTTTGAAAAGTAAGAAAACCATTTGTTTGGTAGTTATTAATCACATGTGATTGATATAATAACTATAATTGTTCAACTTGTATCCCCCCCATAAAAGCATTTAAAAACATTTAAAAGGTTAATTAAGGGGGTATGAACTCACCTGTAGTGAGTGGTTTGGATGAACTGAAGAGATAGGATTGCTAGGTGTCAAGTGAAGACTTGTACACACACAATGATCCTATTTAACATATAAATACACATATATGTATTCAATTAGTCTTTAAACAACTAATTTATAAAGTTAAGACATCCTAAGACAAGTTAAACACTTTATATAAGTGTTATAAGTCCCAAGGATTGCATCTAAGTGTTGTAGGACCAAGCTATGGGGTTTAGGGTTCAAGGGAACCCCTTTCATGAGTTTACGGTTTCTTGACCATAACCACATGAGTTTACGGTCGTAAACCCATGAGTTTACGGCCGTAAACTCACACCAACCTTGACCATTTGTTGTTTTGAAGGTTTCTAAGTCCTTAGAAGTGTTTCCTCATGAAGTATAAGCCTAAGGAAGAAGTTAGGGCACCGTCTCACTCCTATATGGAGTTTACGGCCCTAATACCATTTCCCTTTGGGTTTACGGCCGTAAACCCTTATGGATGATGGTATTTTGATGTTTCCAAGTCCTTAACATATCAATGAAGGGATCTATGCTAGTTACCAAGGCTTAGGGTAAGCTAGGGCACACATTGGTACCCTTTTTAGGGTTTACGGTCCAAGAACATCTTGGACCGTAAACACCTTGATATTGGTGTTTCTTGGGTGTTTTCTTGTTATAATGAAGTGTAGGAAGCTTAAACATACTCTAGGATAGAAGTACTTACAATATAGAAGCTTGAAATGAGCCAAAAGTCCAAGAACACTAGTATGTGTTCTTGGTGAAACTTGAAGATTTGATCTTTTGGACAAATTTTTCGGATAGATGTGTGTTAAAACACTAGATTAAGTGATATACCAACTCAAAAGGGCTAGAAACACTTACTAGATTGAAGATCTTGAATAAAACTTGGGTGATACTTGAGAGAGTTTGATATTTGTTCTTGAAAAAGTGGAAAAGTGTTAAAAATGGCTAAGTGCCACTTATATACCCCTTTCCCTTAGGGTTTACGGCCGTAAACACCAAGTTTAGGCCGTAAACTCTAAAATTTTGATGTGTCGGGACTTTATTGTTGCACAATAAACCCTAGGGCATCCTCTCTCCTGATATCTCCTAAAGTATTAATCCTAAAATACTCAAACTTATTCCAAAAAGTCTGAAAATTTAACAGTAACTATTTTGACTTCTATTGACTTGACATGTTGTACAGAATAGAAATTTCGGGTTGTTACATAATATTTGGTTTTTGAAGTTGTTGAGTCATGACTGTGACATTTATAGGTGATAAAACGGAAAATTTTGAAAAAATGATCGTTGGTCAACACTCGAGAGAGAGAGAAAGAGAGAGAGAGAGAGAGAGAGAGAGTAAAGAGAGTAGAGAAAGTTATGTGAGGTAAGTTGTCACGAATTAACTTACCTGTTCTTCCATCAAATCTCTAGTATTAACTTACCATTTCTTCCATCATTGGTTAACTTACCCCCCTTTGAAATTGTACTTGCACGTCGTACGACTCTATCACCCTAAGCGACTTCTTATCGTTGTTTTCTTTGCATTCTATCATAAAAAATCATAGCACCCAAATCATTTTTAAACACAACATAGTCATTTGTTACAATTTAACTGACAGAGCAATCAACCAACGAAATATCAAATTCATATCACATAAAATCATAGCACCCAATACTTTTTTAAACACAACATTATCATTTGTTACAATTCAACCGACTGGTATTTAACCAATCTTAACGAACTATCAAATCCATATCACATAATAAAAAAAAGAATAGCCATAGAATGATACAAAGGTTTAACATGAATGATTTATAGAAATTGTCATATAATTAGGCCCGATTCGTTTATTACTGACTGATAGCGACGAATTAACGATGAATAGTAATAGATTAACGAAGGATATCAACAAGTTTGCAGCGGATTAACGAAAAATTAGTGGATAGTGACAAATTAAAATTTTAGGTGCCTTCACGACACATGCTATGTATGTTCGCACACCCAACACCTTCTTAGGTATGATTGTTCAATATTTGGATAAAACAAAATTGTCCAATTACATATTTTGGGTTGGATAACAGGTATTTGCGTTGACTTTTAGCAAAACCAAATTATAATCTTGGATTTTGATCGATTTTGGTTTATAAAATAAAAAATTGAATAGTCCAAAAAGATCACGACGTCATCTCTCTTTTATTAGTGGTAACTAGATGTGAAACCCATATAATACACGAGTTTTTTTTTTAAATTAATATATTTTGTTAAGCATTACATGTTTAATAATTTACAAAACTGAATTTGGAAAGAATATCAATATTAGCTGTGAATGAACCAATTTTTGCAAGGTTTCTGCAAATTATCGCGAATTCAAAAGAAATTGACCGAAAATTATGTTTTTCAATTAGGAAGATTGATTTGAATTTAAATTGAATTTAACACAATTGACAAATTACGTGGGAATTTATGGATACATTTAAGTTTCCTTATTTTCTTTATTATATTTTTCGATTAGATTTTTTTTTTATAATTTAATAACAAAACCAAAAAAACTACAATTTGCCAACTGAATTTAAATGAAATTAAAAAAATTAAAAAAATGACAGGTGGCATATTGAATTAGATGATACCATTTAGCAAAAAAAAACTTTTATTTAATTGGTAAGATTTATTTATATTTGATTCTATAGGTTGACTTTTTTTTTTATCCCAATAAATGTATGTACAAGAAGCATATTTAATGCAATATTAATTAGTAATTTTCAGAAGTTACATGTTTAAATTTTGATTACATTTGTTAAAACATACAACAATATTTCAATATCATTGATGAATTGGGCCCAACGAAACTACTAATAAAGTCTTAAGAGGGGGTATGTTGCAAACGATTATAAACTTGAGGGAGCAAAATGCCATTAATACTTTCAATGTCAATATTTAACCCATTTTGACCAGCGGTCGTCATAAAAATTCCGCAACACAATTTTGCAAGAGCAGCTACAACAAAACTTTCCCTCGTCGCCGACTTCGTAATCTGACGCGCCGCTGAGAAACCCTAGTTCACTTGTTGTAAGTTATCTTCACTAAAAGTATTCCAAATCTTATCAAGAAACAGTTTCTTGAACGAATTTCTGTGCATACCTTTGATTTTTGTTATTTTGAATAACATCTCTTGTTTTGATTCAGTAAAAGGAGAAGAAAGCGAAAGATGTCGACGGCGTTGACGGAGGAAGATATCAAGAGATTGTACAGAATAAGGAAAACAGTGATGGAGATGTTAAGGGACAGGAATTACTTGGTTGGAGATTTCGAGTTGGAGATGGATAGAAGACAGTTTATTCAGAAATATGGAGATAACATGAAACGTGAAGATCTAGTCATCAGCAAATCCTTGAAGAACGATAGCTCTGAGCAGGTTCTAATCTTGCTTTAATGTAATTATTCCTATATGATTTTGTGATTCGATTGTGCAGAAACTTTAGTAATCGGTGCTTATAGAATGTAATTTCGAATATCCTCTTCCTGTTGTGAATTACTTCTACTAGCTATAAATTTGAACCAGTTATCTGTCTGATTCCTCTTAATGACATTGATTTCTAGTTCACTCAGTATCAATAGCACTATAATCATGGACAAGTTAGTATTTCTATCTTGTATTTGTATATAACTTCTTTCATATACAAATTAGAAGCAGAAAACATAGAATTTTAGGGTTAGAGTACATATTGATGAGTTGTTGTGCATAAGAAAACATGAATCAGGAAATAGCTTATTGAATTTTCCATTTATCTTTGTAACTAAGATTGGTGCTTGCTAATTTCACTATCAGATCTATGTCTTCTTCCCTGATGAAGCAAAAGTTGGAGTGAAGACAATAAAGAATTATATAAACCGTATGAAATCAGAGAATGTCACCCGAGGAATCTTGGTTGTGCAACAAAATCTCACTCCCTTCGCAAGAACTTGCATTAGTGAGATATCTGCTAAATTTCATTTGGAGGTTTTTCAGGTAATTTCATCATCGATTCTTAACATAGGTTTATTATATGGCTTGACTAATTTATAAGTTAACTGACATGCAGGAAGCAGAGTTGCTAGTGAATGTAAAAAATCATGTTCTAGTCCCCGAGCATCAGGTTCTTGCAAATGAAGAGAAGAAAACATTGCTCGAGAGATACACAGTAAAAGAAACACAGGTGAGTTTATTTTTTATATATATACATTTTTATTGTTGATTTACTTGATTACTGATTGAGATGAATGTTTTAAAATTTTGGGTGCAGTTGCCTCGAATTCAAGTGACAGATCCAGTTGCTAGATATTATGGGCTAAAACGTGGGCAGGTTGTGAAAATCATTAGACCAAGTGAGACTGCTGGGCGATATGTTACTTACAGATATGTTGTCTGAATAAGTGTCTGGATTGTGAACTTGGATTATTCAGTTTTGTTGTGGTGTAATACTTTTGTTAAAATCGCATTATTAACATTAGCAAGTCTCTTAATGTGACATTCATGATGGATGGAAGTCGAAATTGGTTATATCCGTTATTAGAGTAAATATAAGTTTATTGTGGTTTTTTTTGTCAAATTAAAGTTAAAATAAGTAGTTTTGGGATTTCAAAAACCGCCTAAAGTTTATGGGTTGTGGTTTTTCCACTTACAAGTAGATTTCATAAAGTGAAAAAAATTGGGATATTGATTAAATTAATCCGTGTAGACGAGATCTTTAGCAAAAATAACCAATTTTTTTTAGGTTTTTCAAAAATAACACTTTCTTTTGAAATTTGAACATAGTCGAGTAGATTCAGGAGTTCTCATTCAGGAATGGAGTTTGGGAGTTTTCATTTAGATGGTTTTATTGTTAGAAATTAAATGTTATAAATGTAATTTTGCACTAATATTCATATAACTAGTTATAATAAAAAAGAACTTGCAAACTCCTACCTAAGATTTTCTTATCATCTAATATTTTATTACCACACCAACAACTACCTAACTAGTTATGATTTTTTATCTACCATCAAAAATCATTACATTTTTTATCTACTTTGATATTCATAATGTATTTAAATCAATTTAGATCAAAATATAATTCACACCAAAAACTAAACTATTAAGACATTATTTGAAAATGCCTTATAAACTAGTCCAAATTCATTCTCGATGAGGGTTGTCCTTCAAACTCCAACAATGAGCTAAGGTTTTAAGGAATTTTTGAATCTATGAGGAAAAATGGTAGAAGAAAAATAACTAAAGTATGAAAACTGAAAGTGGAATCTAAGGAACTTGGGTAAGAAATGTAGGGTAAGATGTTAGCCATTGAAGACAAGAAAAAAATGGAATGTGGACAAAAAAAAATTCCAAGCCGTTGAACGTTTGATAAAGAAATTCGAACCTGATCGTGATATTGTAGAGAGTGAGTTTTGGAGAGATTGTGAGAAGATTGATTTAAATAAAAGCACGGGTTGATAAAGAGAACGAAATTCACGTACAACTATCCTGAATTTCAATATTAAGAAAAAAATATATATGATATTATGTTTTTATGTCCATTTCTATTTATATTATGTTCATTTCTTTTTTGTTAAAAGAGTTATTTAATAAATATATTGTGGTTTGTTAAATAAATCTAACTGTATAATCTAACTGTATGATTATAAGCAAGACCAACTCATGTTAACCGTATCATCAAAAAAAGTTGCATTTAAAATAAATATTCACTTATGTTAATGTTAATATAATAATAAATTCATAAATAGACCGCTACTTTTGACATGTAACCCATGCTATAAATGTAATTCGCACCCAATATACGTAAGCCAATGTAACCCTTGATGCTAGATTCAGATTAATTGACCAGTGACAAGTCTCTCTAGAAATGAGCATACGAAAACCCCATCCCTCCTTCTCCGGACTATTCTAGTATATTTGTGCACCCTCCCCCTCCCACTCCCCCCCCCCCCCCCCCCCCAACCCAAGTTTAAGTGTTAAACTCTCAGGAGAGGGAGGGCGGGCATCGGTAGGTTTGGTATCCCTAGATATGTACTAAGATTTGGTGGATACGAGCTCTCATAGTTGTAAATTAGGGTGCGGTTTCCAAAAATAATTGCTACACCAGGAACTACCATAGATAGTGAACATGAATAACCGAAAATCCAAAACCATTAACCTTAAATTATATTTGTGGGATGTATAGCTACACAAATGGTTTAGCATATTAAAATACATATTGTTATAAGTGAAAAATACTAATATAATCCATAAAAACACATTTATATCACATTTAGACCAATCTGGGTAAAGGCTTCCATACGTTAACTCAAGGCAATCTTGTATATTAGTGTTTAAAGCTGACAATATTATTGTCCACCGAGCATCATCAGACATTTGCTCTAGAAACAAAGATGCCAAAGCATAATGTATTGTCGGTCAACACATGCATAAATAGAGTAAGTAACCTAACTAAATGTTTATAAAATAATGATAACATGCAAATATATAAAACTTACATCACAAAAAAATATTAAATTATCATACTTACTTATGAAAATAAAAACAATAAAATAAAAATGACGGTGATACATGCGTGGAAGGCGATTTGTAACATCTCATCTTTCAAATCAAAATTTTTCATTTTTAATTTAGAAAAAAACAATATTCATAAAACCCACATCAAGAAAAACATAAGTATTAAATACAGTTGTCCCAAAATATCAGAGTATCAAAACATACAGAAACACAAAACTGCAGACAAAAGTGTATAATCAAGCCTTCGCCTTCCCGCAATCATCTAAAGTACTTGAAAAACATTTAATCAACAACTGTAACCACGAGGCTTAGTGAGTTCCCCAAAATATCACATACAACACATCACAAAAAAAATAAACAACTATGGGTTATCAACAAACATGGGGATTATCTGCAATCCCAGTGGGCTAACAGTACGCCAGGTGGGTTAACGATAACCCTGGAGACTATCAGCAGTCTCAATGGGCTAACAGCACGCATAATGGGTTATCAACAACCCTGGAGATTATCAGCAGTCTCAGTGGGCTAACAACATGCCCATAAGTTATCAACAACTCCAAATAGTATATACAACAATTATCAAATATGACCCAGCTGGTCAGTATGCACACATACTATGACATAGGTAATATACTGAGAAGACTCACCTCTCACAAAAGACTAATAACCTCACACCTAAACTGCCGATACTAGACTCCTCCTACTAATCATATCTAAAATAACCCTAATTAACAGTTAAGTTAATTACCTCAACTTAACAAGTCCAAATACCAAGATTAATCCTTATTTGGGCAAAAGACCATTTTGCCCTTCCAAGTCCTCATCCTTTCAAAGCCGACCAATAGTTAAACTAGTCAAAACGTTAACAATCAACCTTGCTGTTGACTCAAGCATGACGTACACTAAGTCTCTACGAAGGGCGTAGAGCCTTAATCATAATCGGGTGGAAAATCAGGCTACATCGGGCCTAGCCAAGATTACACCCCGTGTACTGCTCTTTTAGTCCATCCTCGTTTTAAGCACTTAATACCTTACGACCTTTCACTCAAAGCTCATATCTGACCCTGATGAACATTCTAAAGCATAAAGTCTCCAACTTTAAGCCTTTGCGTGGCTAAAGAGAGCTCAAATCCAAAACCCTAACCATTTATTCATTCTCATGATCCAAATCTCATGCATTGATGAAAGGAAGGGGGGACAAAAGACATAACATCATAAATTATCAAGATCTAACAAATCATTAATCAAGGTTTGTACTTGATACCTTTTGAAGATGGACAAAGGGATGTAAGATCTGGATCCACAAGCTTGAGTGCACCATAACTTCAACAATGGCCTTTCCTCACAATCAAAATGCACCAAAAATCACTCTAAAGCTCCAAAGCTCTCTCCAAGGGATTAGGGTTTCGAGGTGGGGGCTAAAGGGGATGGAGGTTGGTCATAAGAAAGGTCTTAATGGGTTAAGGTCCTTAAATAGGGCTCAAGGCCCCAAAAATTAGGGTTTGTATTCTACACCAGTACACCTTACGTAGTGGATAAGATCTGCACATGGGTTTAATGAATTACGCCCTACGTAAACCCAATTTACGCCCTGCGTAGACTCTCATTTATCAAAATTTTAAACTTAAAAAATCATAAAGAGACATACATGAGGAATAGGAGTTACAATTCTCGCCCACTTGAATCAGACTTCGCACTAGAAGTCCTCAGCTGCGAATAGATCGGGGTAATGCTCACGCATCTTAGCCTTGGGATCCCAAGTCGAGTTAAAGCCCTTTCGATGCTGCAACTGAACCTTGATCAATCTCACTACCTTGTTCCACAAGGCCTTCGACTTCCTGTCTAGAATCGTAACTGGCCGCTCAATGTAATTCAGGCGATCATTGACTTGAATATCTCCCAATGGAACCACAGCTGTCTCATAAGCCACACACTTCCTCAGTTGAGAAACATGGAAGGTATCATGAATCTGACTAAGCTCATCTGGAAAATCCAATTGGTAGGCCACCTTGCTTACCCTGACTACTACTCTGAAAGGACCGATGAACCTAGGACCCAAATTGCTTCGCTTCCTTAATCTAATAACACCTTTCCAAGGTGATACTTTTAGGAATATCATATCTTCAATATGAAACACTAACTCAGAACGTCGTCGGTCCACATTAACTCTTTTGGCGGCTCTAAGCCGTCAGCAACTTTTGTCGGACCTGCTGAAGAAGCTCTGTTGTCTTGAGCACTATCTCAGTGCTCCCATTTCTATCTGTATACATGGCCACCAGTAGCCATATCTCAGGCCATGATACATTTTTTTAGTTCCTGGGTGAATGGAAAATTTCGATTTGTGGGCTTCATCCATCAAAACCTATCGAGCTCCACCAGCGTAAGGCACCCAAACCCTACCATGCAGTGTCAACAACCCTTTGCTATCTATGCAAAGCTGAAAGCTGACCAACCAACCCCTTGCTTTTCCGATTCTCCTCCTTGATGGCCTCCGACTGCGCATATCTGATCATCTCCGGAACGAGAGTCATCACTATCATCCTCAAACATACCTCTTGAATCGGAGCGCTAACCGCCCTATGGCTTAGAGCATCGGCCACCACGTTGGCCTTACCTGGGTACAGAATCTCACAATCGTAGTCCTTCACTGTGACATCCCCAATTTCATGGACTTTTTAAAACTTTTTCTTTATGCTTATTTAAAACATTTGTGATTGCGGAATTCGTCCCAAAATATCCTTGATATGATATAACATCAAAAATCAATGCATTTTAGAAGATTTTGTATTTTAAAATCCTGGGATGTCATAATTGATACAAGAAACATAAGCATAAACGAAGACTTACAAAATCTCAATATAATAAAGATCTACATCTCCTTGAATATCTCAGCAGATAATTACATTATCTATCAATATTTTCATATCGTTACCTGTGATACAAGGAAACTGAGTGGGTCAGGTTGGGAAACTTGGTGATTACATAGGGATTTCAATCCCACAATGCTATTTTATATATATATATATATATATATAT